CAAATAGGAAAGCTTGCCTTGCAGGTTAGATTTGGCGCCGGCAAGAGTTTGGAGTTCATTGTCCTTTGAAGCCAGAGAGGCGCAGAGCTCTGTCAACGCATCAGTGGCCTTCTATGCTAAATCCTTGAGAGCAACAATGTCTTTGTCCTTGGCAACAAACTCCCCCTCGAGCTACTTCACTTGAGACTCCAAGTTGGCCTTCGCGATGCCGGCAATACGAGCAGCGTCAAGGGCCTCCTTGATCTTCCTAGCATGTTCCACAACCTGGTCTTGGTGGGCTTCCTCATGCTTCTGTTCGAGCTCTTCGGTTCGTTTGGCCAGCAGGGCTTGGATCTCTTCGTCTTTGATGCGAAGAATGGCAGCCAACTTCTCCTTGGTGGCAAGTTCCTCTTCATGAGTGTCGAGGTTAACCTTGCGCTGGGTTAGCTCGCTGTCAGCTATTGCAGCTTTCCTGGTGGCCTCGGCCTGGGCCATCTTAGCCGTTGCCTTTTCCAAGACGAAGGATTCCTTGGCGGCAACAAGTTGGGCCTCACGGCTCTTGATGTCTTGAAGCTTCTCGGCATACCAGACTTGCGCCTCATCAGCCCTCTGGAGGAGCTCTTGCTCTACCATCTCAACACACGACGTTGAAGTTTTTCCCAGCGCCTACTGTAGCGTTGCTGCATCTCCTTGAAGCCATTCTCCATGGACTTCAAGAAGAGAAGCGACGTCGTCATCAGCATTGCGCTCCTCGGTGGTCATGGTTGGAGGGATGATAAGCTCATCGTCCACACCCTCAAGTGCGTGCTCCTTGGCACCAGACGTGCCGGGAGCATCTGCTCCCCTTCGCGGACTCGAAAGCCTTAGAAACCCGCCTACTGGAGGGGCTTCATGTGTGGCAGGGGGTCGTCAACAACTCCCATCTCCACATCTGCGCCAACGCTTGCCGTTTTTGGAGCGGAGGTACTGCCGGCAGCCTCGGTAGCCTCCCTGGCTGCATCCACGGCAACCTTCGCGGCCTCCTCCGCGGCATCAGGGGTTGCCCTCTCTTCCGGAGGGGTCGGCTCTGCGATGCGTTCCCCCTCCGGCAACTTCAGTCGCCGTCGCTTGGTCTCTGGCAAGGTTCGTTGCCAGCATGTCCTCGACGCGGACAATATCTTCAGAAGCTTTCTCTCGGGAAGGACTCCCAAGAACCTCTTCGTTAATGGTCCTTCCTGGCGAGCTGCCTCCCGGAGGAACGGTTGTTGAAGGCACGCCTTGGGAATCCGCTTCCCGTGCCTCTGCTTCTTGGCGGTCGCTCTCCCCCCCTTGCCGGTGTCGGTCTTTGGGACGCCTTCGGTGGTGCTTGTCGGCAGGGTCTGGCCGGTCTCCTCTCCACACGGGTTGTTTTCAACAGCCCCTGGAGGAGTCGAGCTCTGTCCAGTGCCTGTTGCCGGCTCGCTCACTTCGGTGGTCCTTGCTTTCTTTCCGGACCTTGTGGATCAGGGATGCCTTGTCCCTGCAAGGCCAAGACAGAGCAAGCCGTCAGATCAGTGAAGCGGCCGCCAAGAAAAATTAAAGAGTAGAAGAAGGGATGGTGGTTTACTCCTCTTCCTCCTCGTTAAGGGTGCAAATGTCCCAGTGCGCTTGGTTCCCAGAACATGAAGTTTTTGTCGGAGGAGAAGGCACCCGGACACGCTTTGCTGTCGGCGGAACCTTTGGCCGCGAGGCCTCTGTTCTCTTCGTTGGCGGCGGAGCCTGTTGCGGGGAAGCCCCTGCTCCAGCCTTTGTGCCGACAAGTTCATCTTCAGCCGGTTTGGTGCGCCGCTGCTTCTTCGGAACAGGCTTCCGTGAAGCTTTGAGCGCTGCGATAGCCTTACTGGGAGCCGAGGAGCAGGGGCCTCCTCTGCCTCTTCTTCTTTGAGAAGACTCGACGCCTCATGCAGCTTCAGCCCTCCTGGCAATCCACTCTAGCTCATGCTCTTTGGTGGGATGAACCAGATCTTTCTCCTCCGTCTTAGGGATCACCACCAGCTCATCATGCCACTTTTCTTTGATGACACTCAGGCCTCACCCAGTTGGAGACAATACCTTGGGCATTGCATTCCGGCGTCATTGCCAAGATGGAGTCCCTGGCAGCATTATTACACAAGGGAAGCATCCGACAACTTGTGGGTGCATCCCTTATTGAAGATCTTGCGGATGACGTAGTCGTGCTCCAGCACCGTCAAAGTTGTTGGCTAGATCGGGACGAAGCCGCATCGTGTCGCCGGCATTCTTGTATTCCGAGGCTAGCCGGCGCATCCTTTGCAATGGGGCTATCCTGCGCCTGAGGAAATCGGCGCCTACCATCCCAAGAGTCAAGCCGACAGCATGGAGATCCTCTATCCGGCCCAGAACAAGACCAAAATCGTCATCTCGAGGGCCCATGTCTAACCAGCGAGGGTCCCTTTTGAGCTTTTTAGTGGCGGTGATGCAGTACTTCGGGAAGTCCTTCATCTTGATCCAACACCAATCTGCTCTCCATCCTGGCCATTTTTTTGTGCCAGGTCCCCTCAAGATACTCGTCCTTTCGTGCGGACCTCAGGATCCACGTCATGCTACCGGAGATGGCGTTGCCTCTATTCGCGGCGAGTAGAAGTGACGGAACATGGGAACATTTGGTACCACCCCCACGAAATTCTCGTAGAGATGGGCAAAAGCTGACATACAGGTGACGGCATTCGGATTGAAATCCCGAAGCCTGAACCCAAATGTCCGCATCAGCTCATCAAAGAACTCCAAGAAAGGGGGACCAGTCCACAGTAGAAGAACGGGGCGAAGAACGCGAACTTATCTACACCGGCAGGGCTTCTTGCGGGCAGCACTTCAACGAAGTCGTGGTCCTTCGTCTTCACCGACCACAGGAAAGAGTACCTGTACGTGAGCTCGGCGACCTCCAGTGCCGGAGGGAAGCAGGCATTCTCCCTCCGCATTTGTGCTAGCACGACGGCCTTCTTCGACCCCTCTACCTCTTTCCTTGATTTCTCTGCCTCTTTGCTGACTCTTGTCTTTGGAGCCATGGCAATTGGCGAGAGCTTTGGCGGAAAGTGAGGGCGAAACGACGCGGAGAGGCGTAGCGGCGCGAGGAAGACGATGGCCCCAGCAATTGGGAAGGATGGAACGGAGTGTGAATCGAGCATCGCCCCTGCAGTTATCCTTTTATGGGGAAGGCGCGGGGGCTGGCCCTTCGCCGTGCGGCGTGGCGCACCTTTTTAGGCGCACGACTCTACTACCGTCTCGTTTTGTTTCCCCCACTATCCCGCATTCAATGCGCGGTCAAAAGTAGTGGGTGGGAGTTACCCTTCGCCACGCGTATGCCGGTGCATGTTGATGGGCCTAGCCTAGACAAGCGTTGTGCATGCGTGTCCGGCCTAGGCCCGGGGGCTCCTGTCGGTGTAGTGAACAGCGGGTGTTCACCCCATGACGACGCACCGGCAAGTTGCAGCCTCCGTGCCGGGAAGGACATGGCCGAGGAGGAGTCCACCACAAGACACTCAAGACATGGTGAATAAATACTGTGAAGAAGGCCTCGAGGCAGGTCATCGTGAAGTACTGGAATCACCTCAAGGTCAAGACCAGGATCACCGGGAAGCAGGCCTTCCCGGGAACAAGCATCCCACGTTGCCGGCAAAGACAGAGCCGGCAAGCCAAGCTCCTTGCCACCGCTCCACTCGCACCTACCTGTCAGGAATCCGTTGACAGATGGCGGGCGCACAGGCGGGTAGGTAGAAGCTGTCGGGCTGCGTGGCAACCCACTGCTTGTAGTTTACCTTCATCGACACCCGTTCTTGCACGTGTCATGGTAATAAAAGGTAGCTGGGCCGATGGAACAGGTGGAACAGGACCTCCTTCCCGGCATCCAGCATATCAAGACACCTAGCAGATCATTAATTGCCTTTGTCCTACACCGTCAGTGTTACGTATGTTAGCACTGTAGCTATCATCGGCATGTAATTACCATTTTGCCATTGTTGGTGACCCCTTGAGCTATAAAAGGAGGCCCATGGCAACCTTTACAAAGGTCGAGACCCTGTCCATTTGCAGTAGCTAGCAGCACCCCGAGCACCTTGCCAGCAAGGTTGCTCTCTCTGTAATACAGGGCTCATAACACTTAATCCACCAAAGCAGGAGTAGGGTTTTACGCATCACTGCAGCCCGAACCTGGGTAAAATTCTTGTGTGCTGTGTGTGGTTGGTGCTGCTCTTTCTGTGCTGCATCCCTCTTCATCGAACCTGGGAAAGGGTCTGCCATGGTCCCATAGATTGTCGTACGCCAACACTTTGTTTCTTGGTAAGTGTAGAATCTTAGTAGTGTTACTTAAGCTGTAATCATAATGAGATGTAACTTCATGTAGAAACAGCTACTGTAATTCTGATGGAATTGGGGATGAAATTTTCAGACCCAGGTTTACAAGACTAGAAACGTGGTTGTTAAGAGCGAGAGATTCAGCACTTGCTACGATCGCTTCTGTTAGTATTGTAAATATGTGGGAAGTCAGATTATCTTGCTTGTAATAAATGGTTCAGCTTTATGATTGAAAGTTCACAGTAGAAGCAAATATTTGAAATGAAATATGTGGGAAATCACATTATCTTGTGGGAAATATGTGGGAAGCAATCTTGGTTAGTATTATAATATGTGGGAAGTCAGATTATCTTGGTTGGGGGAGTGGATGTATAACTGTACCATCCGGGTTCCTATTTATGTTGCACGTGCGCGCTTAGTGGTTTGGTGAGATATACAGATGTCCATATTGCTTCTGTTAGTTGTAGGGCTTCTGTTATGATCTATTGTTTGTACTCATTAGAACACGATTGTATCAGTGCTACTTTTCTAGAAATTATGTTCATCGTGTCACTACTGATTAACATTATTATTATGGTCAAAGTCTAGTCTTTATGATTAAAAGTCCACAGTAGAAGCAAATATTAAGAGATGTATGTCGTATGCTTGGTTGCTGACCAGTTTGAATATGCTTTTCTTTATATTTCATCTTGCAGGATTGCAAACAAGTTGAGAGGGACGGCCCTTACTACGATTTTCAGTACAACACGAGGCGTGCGCGACCATCAATTGTGCATTTTCAGGTTTGAACCTAATCTATTGTCATTTCAAACTTACAGTAGAATATATGGAGTTTAAATACAGCTAAGGATGATCTTTTTGAACTGATTGGATCATGTTGTCCAATAGAACTTGTTCATGTCCATGAATGAGAAACTTCTTCACAATGTCTTGCTTGTGGAGATAGAGTATGATTTGGTCAATTGGCGGAAAAGAAGTTATACAATGTAGAAGGAACTAAATCACAAGCTATAATCTAGAAGATTATTCTGAATGCCATCATGTATAGTATATTTTTGTTTGAAATCCTAGAGCGAAGTGAACCCCCATGGATTAGTATATTTAATATGAATTCGGCAAGAAGGGCTATTTCATAGTTGTTCTAGCACATTATTGTGGAGGAACAACTTCACCTTGCTGCTAAAAATTGTTGAAGCATCTACTTCAACTAGGGGGAGTTGACGCGCTCCGCCGCACTGAAAAATCAGGGCCTCGCACAAGTGATTCATTTGGAGCCGTGTTTTATTCCTTGTATGGTTGCATCAACAATATGCAATCAAAGCTGAACCAGGATGGAAAAGTGAGTAATTCTTAATAACCATTCAACAATTTATCATAGTAGAACAGTACCACTATCGTTTCAAAATACTTGCACATATTAGTTTTGTCTTGAGTTGAACTTTGTGAAGTTTGATCAAGTTTATAGAAAAAATATCAACATTCACAATAGCAAATCAATACCATTAGATTCATTATGCAATGTATTTCATATTGTATTTATTTTGTATTATAGATGTTGATATTTTTTTAATATAAATTTGGTCAAGCTTTACAATTTTTGACTTAAGACAAAACTAATATGCAAAGTATTTTGAAATAGAGGGACGTGGCATTAAGGGTCGTACCTCCATGTGGTAGCATTGGCCACACGTCTAGCCATTTATATCCATGCCGCGCTTATTAACTGCTGCAGTGGAGAACAGCCGAAAATAGCGTATTCAGGAGGCGAGTATTAACACCATACCGCGTATCATGCAGAAGGGGCACTGCCAGCACCCAACGACCCGGGCAGCTGCTGCCAGGCTTGGGGGTGCACTACCTGAAAGTAGCAATGACTGCACCAGGCGAGAAACCAACCTGCACATTTCCCAGGCAACGATTTTGTGGGGTGCAGTTACATGGTTGAATCAAAGACCTGTTTGCGATTCTCAAAATTTACACTATGCTTACAGGTTGCCCAGGCTAGAAATTATCTCTCTCGACAACCACCCCTGACAAACCATCTTCAAAACAACCCAATGACACATACTTGTTCACCTTACCACATCACTCCCTTCCCTATCATTGCGAGCTCTAGAGTACTTATCAGTGGAAAACTGGGTGACCGTATTTGGCATGCTCGGGGCCTGAGGCAGGGAGACCCCCTCTCCGCCCTCCTGTTCCTTCTGATTATGGATGTGCTGAATGCAATGGTGGACAAGACTGAGGCGGCTGGGTTTTTTGAGCCACTTGACAGATGGGGCGTGCGGCATCATGTTTCTCTCTGTGGACGACGCTGTGATATTCCTCAAACCTAAGGAGAGCGAGGTGATTGCAATCAAGGAGAGTCTGGCCTTATTTGGCGACACCTCTGGGCTTAAGGCCAACTTACAGAAGTGTGCGATTTCTCCAATCTGCTGTGATGGCTTGAACCTGGACGTGCTTGCTGTTCCCTCCCCTGCCAACCGACCCAATTTCCTTGTACATACTTGGACTTACCTTTGATACTGGTGGCGCTAACAAGAGGTGACTTTCAGTCGTTGGTTGACAGTATCGCCAGGAGATAGTCGATGTGGAGAACTTCTACGGTATACACTACAGGCAGGCTGTCCCTGATAAATTCAGTGCTGACCGCGATTACGATTTACCATATGCTCTCCCTTGAGCTTCCTCCATGGCTCTTCAAGACCATCACCAAACTATGTCCGTGTTTTTTCTGGAGGGCTAAGGGAATTTTTTCTGGAGGTGTTGCTTGTTCTTGGAAAAAAACGTTGCCTGATGAACTGCTGATTGTTGCATATACCAATTCCGCACTACTTTCCACTTTATTAGCTATATTGGCCTCCTAAATGCTAAATTGTCACCCATAAGTAGTCATAATTTCTCTTGTAAGTATACTGTGCAATTTCATTCTCTACATTGCATGGTTAAACTCTATGTCTTAGGTGGCACTAATAAATAAACGAAGTAGTTTTGATTCTGACATTCAAGTTGCAGTTGAGGAATTTGGTCTGGGCAACAACCAAGCATGATGTTTATACAGTACACAATCAATCAATGACACACTGGTCATCACTAAACCAGATAAGCACTGAGCTAATCAATGGTGATGATTGCATTATACCAAAACAGGTTTATACTTAATGACACGTCTTAACATTGTTTGTTTCCGCTTCATCTTCTGTTTGGGCTACAACATCCATCAGCATTTTGTTGTTGCTTAACAGAGAGGGCATGGTTCACAATCTGTCTCAATGGTCCAGTTCACAACTATGGCTGTAGATAATGATTTATTGGTAGTTGGTGGTTTCCATGGAGAGCTTATATGCAAGGTATGTTGATGGCAAGTAGAGCCTTCTACTCTGCAATAGTCTGACAAGTAACAATTCTGACCTGATAATTTGCTTTGGTTTTTATTAGCGTCTGGAGGATGATGGGATAGTTTTCAGCACGAGAGTTACAGATGATGAGAATGCTATAACCAACTCTTTAGAGATATACCAGGATCCCAAGTAAGATTTGGTGCTTTCAGAGTTGATATACAATACTTTCATGTTGTTGTTAACAATATCTTAAAAAATGTATATTTTTAGTGGATCAAGACGGTTGGTGGTTGCTAATAATGACTGCTCTGTCAGAATTTTTGATACCAAGTATTTTGACCTACTTAATCACTATGTTTTCCCATGGTCTGTGAATGTAAGTACCTTGTGTTTTTCACCGAGAGCTCAGACATGTTTATTCCGGACTGCTGTCTTGTTTATTTGCTAATATCTTGTTTTCAAACAGAGTGTTTCGGTTAACCCTGATGGAACACTTTTTGCTGTCCTTGGTGATCACGAGGATGGCTTGGTAGTGGATCCCAAGTGTGGCAAGGTAAGTGCATGTGCATGTTTTCCTCAAGTTTTGAAGCGATTTATGTTTCTGGTTAACACTAACCAAGTAACATTTTCTGCTTTGCTTTAGCCGATTGGTAAAGTTAGAGGCCATCTGGATTACTCATTCTCATCTGCGTGGCACCCAGACGGCAATATATTGGCTACCGGGAGTCAAGACACAACATGTCGGCTGTGGGACATTAGAAACCTATCACAATCCTTGGCTATCCTTGGTGGAAGGCTAGGCTCAATACGTTGTATCAAATTCTCTTCAGATGGCCGCTTTTTGGCAACAGCAGAGCCTATAGATTTCGTTCACATCTATGATTGTTTTGCCGATTATGGCAAAGCTCATGAGATTGACTTTTTTGGTGAAATAGCTGGTTTGTCATTCAGCCCAGACACAGAGGCCTTCTATATTGGCGTAGCAGACCAAACATATGGAGGCCTCATGGAGTTCAAGAGGAGGCACCAGCATCATTACTTGAACTGCCTGTGGTGATGCCTTTTGGTTAGCACAGTTTGCTTTTGCAGTTCCTTTATTTGCGACTGATTGATCGTTTGACTGTGCTGCAAAAACTGCATGGTTTTAGTCAAGGCAACCGGTGGAGGAACTCATTGGGGCAACGTGATTAGTGATTTGCTGCTGCACCTTAAGCTCACTCCAGATAAATGGGCTGGAGCTGTATAAATTTCTGTTCTGTCTTGTTGCTGTCTAGGAACCGATGGGGATTGTGATAGTTAATGTGTAGTCTTGCATTCCATTTTATCAAATCAATGTACATAGTTGGGGCTTTAGCTGTACTATGCTTTTTTCTTTTTGAACGTGACTAGTAAGCATGCATGTGCTACACTCAAATGCTGACCGAGTTCTTGAAAATACTCCCTCCGTTCCTAAATACTCCCTCCGTTCCAAATTACATGTCGCAGAAATGGATTTATCTAGACTTAAATACATCTAATACATCCATACCTGCGACAAATAATTCGGAACGGAGGAAGTATTTGGCTTTTTAAAGATTTCAAATGGACTACAATATACGTATATAGACATATTTTAGTGTAGATTTACTCATTTTGCTTCATATGTAGTCATTTGTTAAAATCTTTAGAAAGACAAATATTTAGGAACGGAGGGAGTATATAAATCAAATGAATACAGAAATCATGGTTGAATGTTTATGCGTTGCCATTGCCCTTTAGTTTTTTTTTCTTGTTAAGACATAATACATGTCAAATTTCACAACCACTAACATTTGAAAAACAATTAAAATCCACATCACTTGAAATGTATTTTGATAAAAAAATGTCTTTTGAGGAAGTATATATCCATAGTGGTTGGTTCTTCCGTCCCAATATCTATTATTTACTACCACTATAAAAGGAAAAGAGTGGTAGATCCAAACAATCACATCCATCCATCGTCAAAATCTAATAGCCCTTAATTTTTTCATGTTTAACGCTACAAGCCACGCACTAAGCCACTACAATCAAACGCATGCCTCCATCAAGTCATCCATAAGAAAACCGCCCCTTGCACGCACGATACCCACTCGCCCAAATGCCACCGTCCTCGCTTGCCCACCCTCTACACGGCCGGCCGGCCGCCGCCGCCCCACACCACCGCTCCTCCGCTCGGCCGCTGCCCCACAGATGCGATCGCCGTTGCCGTCCGCAGCTTCTTCGCTAGGCTGCTCCCGCATGGATGCGGTCGCCGCCCCTTGTTCGGCTGATGTGTGATGTCCGGTCACCGCTTCCTCTGCTACGACGGGCCGCCGCCGACCTCCTCGGGCGGTTAGCCGTGCTAGCGCCCTCCTCCTCCCTTCTCTCTCCCTCTCCTCACTAATTTCTCTCCCTCTCCCCGTTCCCGTGCTGCAGAAAACCATGGCCATGGACCAAGCTCTGCCAGACCTTCTCTCGCGACTTCCGGCCTTCCTCTCGACCAGATCGACAACGGGATGCCCAGATCTGACACGACGCCGTTCGTTTCCGCCTTGCCTAGCCGCACTGAGCATCCGAACCACCTCCCCAGACAGCGCCGCCATCGTCGCCAAGGCGGCGCCGGTCTCGGCCACGGCGCAGGAGGTGCCGTCGTCACCCTCCATGTCGTCATCTGGCTGGGCCGTCGAGGATCTCCTGCAGTTCTCCCTACGGGCACCGTCAAGGGCACTGATCGTCTATCACAAATCAATCAGGTGAACCTTTAATTCAAATCAATCTGGTGATTTTTTTGGTGTGTTATTAATCAGCTTCCATGGTAAGTAGTAGAGTTGGAGGGATCCTCACGTTTTCATGGTAATTTAACGTTTGGCATCGGCGCACCGGCGGAACGCTTCGGCCGGTGCCCCTCGCTCGCTCGCTTTTTTCCACGGACGGAACATTTTTTTTCTTATATGCTTCTTCTTCCTCTCGCGAGCGCCGCCTCCTGGAAGTGTGTCCCCTCCCCCTCCCCTCTTCCCGAGCTGCGACTGGGCCACCACGACCTTCATCGCCGGCGGCCAGGCTCCCCTCGCCGGCTGCCATGGCTGCCTGCCGCCATGGCCAGATCCATCCCCTACCTCAAGCTTTC